TGGGGGACATTTTCCTCTGATGTTGCAGGTAATATGGCCTCCACTGGATCAGCCTCTTCATCAGTGACACACAGTAAATTACAAGTGCTTCAAGCAGCTCAGTGAATTATAGTTCATCACTTGGAAAGGCTTTCCCCCCTCACCACCGGGGCCCAGGCGTATCAGATCTGCCGGTTAGGATCCAATTAACACCCTGGCCAGAATCATCTGATTGCATGTGTAAGGGCTGGTATAACTCGTTTATTGCACCCATGTATCTTCTGTCACAAGGTAAATTTGTTGCTGCTACATCAAAGGTCTGAGCTACTTTTTTTTTTTTTTTTTATCCCTCCCTCTCACTTTCTCTTGATCCCTCAAACTCAGCTACCTCGCCTTAGGGTTGCATTTCAACTTCTTTTGCATCACAATGATGAACCTACTCTGTCCTCGCAATTTAGCAATCTTGTCCTGTAGGTGTTGTAAATGCAAGAGAAAAAAAGATGAGGTAGGGTAGGGAGTAAGAGGGAGAGGGGGGTGCATGAAAAAAAAAATCTTGTTTTCTGGTTACAAAAGAAGCAACCAAGGATGTTTGACTTAAAACATGCTGACATTTTTTTTCACTCCCTCTCTTTCTTTCTTTCTTTCTTCCTTAGAGTCAACACAAGTTTTCCTCATGAATAACATAATACCCCCCCAAAAAAAACCCTCTCGTTTTTGCTGTGATAATTTTTCTCTATTTTCAGATGCAACCAGAGGGGATGCAGTGGAAAGATTTATTCATAAATGTAAATGTGAACTAGCATCCTTTTCACCAAGCACACTGGAGTAAGCCATCCTTTGCTCGAGCGCCGAGACCCTTTAAAAGACGTGCGCTTCCATTGAGATGATATTGGCTCGCTGCTGAAATGTGTAAAGTTGACCTTTAAAAGTGTGACACTTCCTGAGATGGCCCAGTGCCCACAGCTACTCTGACTGGTCTGGGCAGACAGCTGCAAACACAGGAGAAAGGCGCCAAAAGCCAACATCCTTCACGATCCATAAAGCCTTTCTACTTTGAAACGAATGTTGCACAGATGGAACCAAAGTTATTGGTCTCATAAAAGTGCATTCGCAGCTTGACAGTGTGTGAGGGTGACCATGGTGGTCGTAGCAGACGCTTGGGGCAAGTTGCCTGGTTCTGGATGACGCAGGATACAACTTTAATCCCTGCCAGAGGAGGTCGAACTGCAGGTTCACATTATCAAGTGAGCATCCAACACTGGCAGAGTAAAGTCTGGGCGGGGAATTCCAGCTGTTTTAAGTGTGTCTCAGAATTCCTACACAGTCTGAAAAAGCATGGGATGGGATTGAGATATTTTCTGATTCACAGATTAAGTTCCCTTCACTTCCTTCCTTCCTACCTCTCAATCCATCAAATATTTCCTTCTTTCCTTCCCTCCCTCTCTTCGTCCCTTCCATTCCTCCAACTCCCTGAATCCTTCCTTCATTCCTGCCAACCCACCAAATCTCTGCTTCATGCACATCTTCCTATGCTAAATGTTGTACTTACATGTTTAAATTCAGGAAAGAAACGGACTGAGAACTGAATATTTGAGTTTGGAAAAGGAATCTTGACATGAAAACCATGCGAGGAACAATTCCAAATAATGTCTTCCGATCATTTAAATGTCTAATCACTGACTGTCGTAAAACTACACAGACCACCTTCGCAGCAGAAAACTTTAAGAGTTACTGGTCATGTTTGCATATGAGTGAAAGGAAGTGTAAAGATGCATTATGTACACGCAGGCTTGAGCGAAACAGCTTCCACATTCATAGGCCTCTGTAATCCCCTTCATATCTCCTTGTCCGCATTTCTTTATTTGTATTCTAAATGTCAGTGTATAAATGCCTTTTGGGGTGTGGGGCGGAGTGAAAACATCAGCAAAGAGAAGAGTGGAGATGAGCAATAGTAAAAGAAAAAAAAAAAAGGAGCACAGACAAGAGGGTGCTGTGCCTTGGGAGAGCCGTGTAAGCAGCAGCCGGAGACAGGAGGATTTACAGGAAGAAATAGGTGTTTATTGAGTGCTCCCGTGGGCTTACTGGGTAATAATAGACCTGTCACATAACGCAAATGTGGAGAAACAGCTTCTGTGTGTGTGTTTGTTGGACTGTTGTTGTTTTGTATCCTATGTGTATGTGCGTGTGTGTGTGTGCATATTTCCCTGGCAAAGCTGCCTGCCTCCGCATCATCAACTTTTGAGCAGCAACGACGAGCAAACGGATAGAATTAGTCAGGCAAGAGCCTTTAGCTGCTAATACGAGTAATTAAAACTGCAAGCTGAGGCACTTAGATGCTTGTGTACTAAATAATTTACATGCCATGATCTATGGATCATTTCTCTCTCCTAAATAGCAACGACGGGAGAACAAGAGGAGGGGAAAACAGGCAGAGGATTTATCTGCGTCTTCTGCCATAAGCAGGATGTCATGGTTTTATTAATCCTTTTCCCACTTTCAGCAGCACTAATCATACAAGGGGATCAATCCGCGTCATTCCTGGGGTGGAAAACTTGTAGCTTGATTGCCGCTGACTTTTATCTAGCTGTGAAGCTAATAAAATATTGCACTGTAGCGTCTGTTGTGGCCTCATAATCCCAGTAAATAACCCAGCTTTATTGAATAAACTCCCTCAAGACAAGAAAACACAAAAAGAAGAAAAAAAATGGCAGTGAAAAAAGGTGGTTTAATGAAGAAAGTTCCTCCTGCTTTACTCTGATATTTACACACAGGTATGTATTTTGGGAAAATGTCATTTGAAATGAGAGGATTCAAAGCTACTCAGCTGCATATTCCTACTGTAGAAAAGAAGTTGAATTGGAGCTCAGACTCAACAGTTCCTCTTTTTGTTTTTACAGTGCAACTCTGTGGGCGTGAACTTTTAGAACAAAGAGGTGACCATGTTAATAAAGGCTGGATCAACAAATGGACACGTCGAGAGCTTTTGGGCCGTCAGATTCATATCGATTTCCACCGTCAACTAGTTCAGGATGGAGTAAGCAAATGTAAATATTCAATATTTGCCATCTGCTGCTGTTATTAGAGTACGGTGCTTGAACCTGGGTGGACAGTTATCAAGCCCCAAAACATCTTTAAACATCACAAATCATGTTTTGGATTTTATGGACATACACACACACACACACATTCGATCAAGATTGCATTTGTTTGAATCTACACTGTCACGCAAAAGTATTTTTTTTTCACATTTTGCAACATTACAAAAACAAATTTCAATATCCTGTATTTGGAAATAGAAAATATTAAAGAAAATGCTCTGGTCAGATGAGATGAAAATGTAATATGTGAAATGAAAAAGGCCAGAAAAGCTGTTAGGAGCTAATGGAGGATGGTTAGAGTTACACAGAGAGCCATAGTCGAACAAAACCTCTTAGAAGCTCAAAATGGCTTAAGAGCAAAGAAAATAAACCCACAATAAGATGGTTTGCATCAGATAAGCATGTATAAGAATGTACCAGTCAAAACCTAGACATAAATTCTTGAACATAGCTGTTCATAAATTCTCTCCATCCTATCTGACTGATTCAAAGCTGTTTCAAAAAGAAACACTGGTATAAATTCAAGGTTTTAGGTGGCAGCATCATAATGTGGGGTAATGTGTTTACATTAAGTACTGACTCAGGGACAGTGTGTACCAATGCAGACTTCTCATATTTATATTTGGTAAAAATGTTTAAAATCATAAAAAGAAACAATTCCCACAGTATGACACTACCATCAAATAATCTTTAGTCAGTTTTGCAATGCATCGTCTTTAGGTGTGTCAAAAGTGTGTGTGTGTGCATGTGTGCGTGGATGTGCAAGCGTTGTACATGAGCAAATTTTTTTTAAGTACATCAGCAACAAAATGTAACAAGTTTATAGGGTTACAGCTATTTTGCAAGGCGCCGACTCACTTCAGATCCTACAGACTCCAAAAACTACACATGTACCGCAGTTTCAAGGTGCAATTTGGATGCTTCCTTCTGTGAAAGTCCTATCAATATTAACACATTTGAGGATTCTGCACTGAATAATTCAAGGAAGAAATATGACAGAAGAGTCTTTGGCAACCTTATCTCTTCACCGGTGTGTAATTAGATACACGGGGGTGTGACTCCAATTCAAGGTGTCGCCATTGTTAGACTGTGAAAATATCAACGGGTGAGGTTAACGCCAATTTCCGTCATTAATGAAATGCACAGAGCTTCCTAATGAGGTAAACCACTGCTCCTTGATAGTACTTATTAGCCGAGAGCAGGGCACAGACCCTCACACTTCGATATCAAACCGCTAAAACTATGATAAATATAAATATATACATATTTGAAAAATAGGAGCAGATGTCAAGGGGCCTTACCTAATTTGATAGAAGGGTAAACTAACTGCCTGGTTGACGTAAATGAGCGGGATGAAGAGAATGCTCTTGTGAGAAAAATATCTTAACACTGGGAAGACAGAGGGTGGCAGGTGGCGTGTGCGTGGACCAGAGTGTGAAAGTGTGCGCTGGCGTATGTGTGACCTTTTCCGACTCACTGACAACAGAAATAGACAACCCTACAAATCAATAAGGTAAATTAGCACCGAAGGGGGGAAAATGACAGGCGGATAAAATTAGCTGTGCGACCGGCGAGTCAGACTGACGTGCATTTCAAACAATAACCAACCCCAGGATTTCCTGTGTCAACAACGCCTGGATCTGGTGAAGAATGCAGAAGCAGATTACTAAATAACCTTTGGATACACCCATCACAAGAATGTCCAGCTCGATTGACACATACGCCGAGTAAAGCTTGTATTTTTCTTTGTCGTATTACTCTTGCGAGGTTTTATGGGACTGACTTGTTCATCTTAAAAGATTCTCATCCGAGGCTTGCGTGGGCAAACCAAACACGCTTTGTGGAACAGAGGAAATCTTCTTCATGCGGAGGAGCGCGTTTTACGGATGGACTTTGGAGATTAGACGGAGGGAACTTCTTTACCTGCAGTGGACGCTGCTTGTCCTGGCTCTTTGGAGATTTCAGGCCACTGCCTGGCTGCTGCAAGAGTAATTGCCTCGCTGCTTGTAGAGCCTGGGAAGACGAGAGCACAGCACAAAAGGCATCTTGAAAGACGGAGCTGACTGAGAAAACATTTCACATCTTAAATAACAAACGGCACCGGAGATATGTTTCAGTAACAACTCGTACGGCTATGATCACAAATAAATACGGTTTGTCTGGAGCACCTCTGAAGAAGTAGTGGGGGACGATGGGGAGTAGAATTGACCTGTCTAGTGTGTGCTCAACTGAAATATCCACTTCCCTCTGCAAATTACCACCACATTTGCATATTCATAATATCAATGTGAAGTAGAGGCAGCACCATGTGAAGTGTCCCTGCGAGCTGTAATTAAAGTTGACAAAATCAACATCAGATTACATTTAGAATGAATTAACCGGCAGTCCGCGTTTTACACTGTGCATTAAGGGTGCTTATGTGCCACGGATGGGAAGATAGACGGAGAGATTAATAGATTCCCCATCTTGATAAAGAAAAAAATAATACTACACAGCTGTTTACAAATGTCTGGGAGTATTTGAAGTTTGCCGTGGCAAACTGTACGATTTTTCATCAACACGTGTTGAGATGGGAAAATGATATGCGATGTTGTGTTCACAAGAACTAGACCAGATTTGAGCAACAGTTTGGAAAACCATGAGGATCCCCCATTTTTAAAATCATTTTCACTTAAAGTAAAAGATTCACAGATCCTAAACTGCATTTTTACACTTATGTAATCGTTAAATACTCCACTGCAGTTTGAATATAACTATAAATGGAAAATTGTGAGAACAATATCTTTCTAAACAAAACAAAAAAAAAAAGCACCCAAAAGACTCCTTTTTTGTCTTTTCCAAAACAAAATCAGGGTTCTGGAAGCATAAAACTTCACCAAAGTCATTTAAAAGGTCAATGGAAACCACAAACCAGATGCAAAGCATTAATTGTCAGATACAGTAGTTGAATGTTGCCCAAAGAGAAACTCTATCAACACAACAGAGCAACTCAAAGACTTTTTCCTGTCTTACTTGAACACGGGAATCTTAAAAATAGATTCAATAGGATGTCAAGCTAACACATCACCAAACAACAACAAAAGACAACTCAGTACAGCGGTAACAAGTGGAATTAATCTCATGAGATTGTGTGCAACACCCCGAGTCAGTAGATTTGCTTATTAATACACAACGTGTGAAAGAGAAAACAGAATGATGAGAATCAAAGTCACTGAGTGTGCGGTTATTTCTTTACGGTTTCATGGGCTTACAGCTCCCCTCCTGCTCGGTGGTGAACAAGCAGGCTGGGCGAGCAACTTCACACGATTCTTCAAGAGAAGCATGAGAGAGGCTGGCAGTAAAGAACACTCTGCACAGACAGATGCTCCACACAACAAAATAGCTTGTTCTGCGCTGGCCTACAAGCATCAAGCTGGAGTAGCACAACAACTTCACAGGTTTTTGGGCATTTTTTGTTGTTGTCGTCTTGTGTTGTTTTTGAATGGAGAAGGCAGTAGAAAATAAAACTCAGGCAGAGAGTGACGCTTCCTTAAGAACCACGGGTCCTCATTTCATTCTGGAGCTTGCTAGTATCCATGACAACGGCTGCTTTGACAGGCCGTGCATATGGTGCAGCTCAACCCAGCTGGTGGGAACAATGTTTGAACTAGTACATTGAGATCCTGAGCAAACAGGAGGAGAAGACAGGAGACAGACAGAGAAAAGGCAGAAGGGGGGGAGACCAGGGAGGGGAAGGAGGAGTGGGAAAAGTTGCCACATCTTGACCCCCCCAGAGAACACATCCAATCCCCCTCTGCCCCCCCCACTTTGCTGATCAATTATGAAAAGACAGAGCTCAGGAGGTGCCTTGAGAGGTGGAGGTAGAGCTGGGGAGGGAGCTGTCTGGCTACTCAGGAGGAGCCAGGGCTTCTGATCTGAAGTAAACAAACACATTACACTGGCACTGGGTCCTAACTGCATTGATTCGTCTGTTCTGTAAAAAGGAGCCCAGTCTCCACTAGTTTATATACATGCGAGTGTGTATGGTGGCTGAAAGCTGAGCCTTCGCCTTTTCTTGAAAACACACACCTTTGTAGACATCATCAACCACAGCGATCTGGCACGCACAAAGTTTTCGCGTTGGCTGGAAAATCAAATGTGTTTTTTTCCCCCCTTTTTTCTTTTTCTCCTTTTACCGAGCATAAAAGACAACATAAATTCCTTGAATGCAGCCAATCACTTTGCTAATTAAAACACAGGGCCCAATTAATCTCACCATGATTGGGGAATCAAAGTAATTATAAGGCTTATTGAGTCCTGCACACAGTAGTTAGAGGGGAGGGTTGCTTGATGAGTGCGACTCAAGGTAGCTGTCAGGGGGGAATGTTTATCCGCGTGCGAATCAATAGTGAGTCACTGTGTTAGAGCCAAAGTCAAGAAAGCTTCTCGATATGTTATGCACGGCCAAGAGAACAAAGAGGGGAGGGGGGATATCTTTTAACACTTTCTTGTTCGTATCTGTTAAACTAAACACATTTTGTTAAAAACAACTGCATTTTTGGGGGGAGGGTCTTATGTGACAGGAAAATGCAAGGTACAATTATGAAGAGAGTCTCTATTTTGTTGAACTACTTTTCAAACAGCATAGTATGGTGCAAACCTGATGAAACCCCTTGAACCTTTTCACATTTTGCCACGTTAAAACCACATATTCCAGTGTTTTTTATTTGAGTTTATTTGTGATATTGAAGACAAAGCAGCTGCCATGTTTATAGCAGCTTTGTAACTTTATATTGTAGAACTAAAAAAGTATAATCTCTTAGGACAGTAAAAAATAAGTTTGTAGCACACTTTTTAGATTTCTGTGTTAAAAGTATTGAAATGTTCATTATTCAGTGCCTCTTTTTGTTACCTTGTTACATAGGCCTAAATAAAATATACTAAAATTTGTGATTGCGACATAGGAATATGTGAAAAGCTCCAGGATTTTTGGAAAAGAGTAGTTTTCCAAAAAGCTTTGTTCATGGCAAGAATATACATAGGGAGATCATCTATGGCAAGCTTATTAAATAAGAAAGAAGCCTCCTCATGACACAGGCCTTATCAACACCGGACAGAACTTTTCCACAGTGGCTCGTCATGTCTGAAACCGTCTGGCACCTCCTCCTTGGAATTGGGGTTAGCCATTTTTTTCAGAAAGCGTGTGATGGTGTGGAAGGTAAAAAGAAGAGGGTATTGGGGGGGGAATGAAAGTTCTGTCCCCTTCACTTTCACCGACTCCGAGTATTCAGCCATTACAGTAAAAAGCACCAATTTGTGCCACCCACTTCTCGCTCCGCATACATGGTGCGGCTAAAGCCCTTCTGAAAGCACAAAAAGGAAAGTCATCAAAAGTTGGCTGAAGAGCTGCCAGAGCAGACAAGAATAACACACACAGACAGACAGACACACGCACATACACACAAGTACTGATGCACCAACTATTTAACCTGGGTTGCTATGCACAAAAAATGACATTCCCAGTCTATTAATTCATACATTGTATAAACAGCACAATGTGACACATTCTTAGAATGAGCGAGCACGGCAGACGGTGCAAAAGAGGAAAAAAAAGAGCCAGGCCCACACTATATAAATAACAAGGCACTCATAGGCATATTTGATGTTGATATCCATCACTGAGGCTGGAAAAAGGGGAAAAGAAATAGAGGGAGGGAAAATAACACAGCGCGACCAAGACCGCGACACAGGGATCCTTATGAAAATAAGATTCAGCCCAAATGGATCTGGTGTAATTGGTTTCAGATAGTGAGGTCAGGGAGAAAGGCGACACAGGCAACTATTATGCGAATCGAACTGAGAAACAAGAATGTTTACACAGGCATTCCTCTCCGACATTAATAGGCATGCAGAGATCACTAGAGAGGGTGCAAAAGGAGAAAGTGAGAGGAGGCTACCCCTTCTCTTACTTTCCTACTGGAGTTCTGCCGGAACATGGTAATAAGCAACCATCACAATGCAGCTTTGTAGGTAGCATGCAAAGACCTTAAACAAGCATGAAATAAATTATTTGGCGTTTTAATATTGGGCCAAACCATTGCAAATCTCCAGATTGCTTATTGCATGTGGCCGGCGGGGTGAGAAAGAAACAAACCAAAGCATGGCAGTCTTTCAAATCCACATGGAGACAACAGGATATTTAGCCATGACATTGGCACTGGAAATGTTTGAGGGGCTGTGACATTGTGTTTGGACAGTGCAGATCACTTCCTGACTCAAATCACACCGGGAGTTGTTGTTATTAGGGGATTTAGCTGATATTGGAATGATGACACACGCGTGTAATATCCCGCTCTCAACAGGTACTTCTTTACAGAATGCCTCCATGTTGCAGAAAGCAGCTGTAAACAAGCCGTCAGTTGTCGATCAGTGAGAAATGGGGTTGCATCAGGGCTAACACGACTTATCTCGAGTGTGCTGAACAGATACTTTGTGTGGATGCGGGTGTGTGTTTGTTTTGGGGTGTAAAAGAGACGGTGTGTAACTCTGGAAAAACTCCAGCTGAGCTGACAGCTTTGACAACTCTCACTCGCGCACACTTCCTGTGTAAGAATATACATATACACACACAACGCCGCTTCGCCAGGCTTATCCATCTTTGCTTCCGAGAAAACAGATTCGGGGGGAGGTGGGGTGTGAATAAGAACAGAAAGAAATAAAAAACAGGCCAAGCTAGATAAGAATAATGTAAAAAAGAAAAAAAAGAAAGAAGATTGTTGATTCTCATGTCATATCTGCACTTACACAGATGTTTAAAATAAAAATGTGTATGATTCAACTGCTTTTATTTAACACAGAAAAACAAATATTGGTACGACTGCTAAAATAATCTCAAATGTTGATAGTACTGTTTCAATAATGTTGTAATGTTATTTTTTTTGACAAATACTATAATCACAAATAGAGAATTTAAATACAGTAAATTTATTGGACATCTATCAATTTGTTTTCTTATGTTATTCTCTTGTTTGAGG